TTCCCCTTTCTATAGGCAACACCATTACAGATGCTGGAAATTCCTGAAGGTAGATGGGATCATTTGACAATCTTCCTTTTATAGGACTATTGATCTTCAGTGGCTCGACACTTGCTTTGTGCAGGGAAGACAGTTACACTGAAAAGGTTAGGCTAAAGAGGGCCAATACAAAAAAAAATTGGACTTCCGCTGACCAGCTCATGAGCCAAGGTCTGGAATGTATATTCTACAGATTTAGCGAATGGGCTCCTCCCATGGTCATATGCACTTTATCCTAACTTTTTACATCAGGATACTAAAACAAATGCCTTGTAGTCATTGCCAAAGCAGGAAGGAAAGTATTTGAGCTTTTCGACAATACTTTATTAGTGTTTTCTGCTTTTCTAAGCTTGATGTGATAAATAACCCCAGGATTTCTGTAGAATGATATCAATTCATCAAGAGGAGATATTTCCACCTAATATTCCCCAGAATATAAAAACCCCAAAGTTCAGATATCAGGTAATCCTGGGAACACAGGTGTTAAATGGAACAGAACCAAGTTGAACAGTGCTCCCTGGGACACACAGAACAAAAAAAAAATCAAATACTATCAGATTGAAAAGAACAAAGGCGTTTTCTTAATCTGAGACTGTAAGAGTCTATTAGAAAGAGTGATCAGTGAAATGGTCACAAAGAAAAAAAATATTTGAAGCTATCAGAATCACTGATGCCAGCAATAGAAACAGGCTGGTGGACTGTCTCATCCAAGCCTACTTGGAAGGTGTCCTTATCTGTAGTCTGGGACTAGGGTCCTCTGAAGTCCAGCTCTGCAAAATCTTTCAGACAGTCTTCCAGTTGTCTTCCTCTTAGTTGAATTCTGCAAGAGCTGACCCCAGACTAGTATGGACAGCACAGAACTGTAGATGTCTGTGGAAATCAGAGTGCTTTCTAGTCACTTGCTTTATTCAGATTTCTGTATAGACATTAACCAGACCCCTGCTGGATGCAAAAAAGAATCAATCAGTCTAAAAAAAAAGCTGCTAGCCCCTGGCAGCCCTCTCCAAAACTGTTCTGCTTCACAAACTTTAGCCCCATCAGCCCTAGAATGAAGTGATGCTCCAAGATCAACAGGCACAGCATATTACAAACCAGGGTCAGATATAGATTCCAGCAATGGAAAAATATACTGTCTTTCTTTTAAGCCCAGAAAACCTTCTCTGCAGAACTGGGAAACCACCACCCACTCATAGCAGGTCCCAGGCCATCCACTTATCTGATCTTACCTTTTGGTTCAATTGAAACTTGACTTGCAGCAGCTCAGGACTATTGCAAGTTTTCTGTCCAGGTTGCAATTAGAGGTCTCTGAGTCATGACTGGCCCTTAGAAACTAAGACTTGCAATGGGGCAGAGCATTTGGGATATCTCTGTGTGGTAAAGCTGGCATTACCAAGCACACAACCTTACACAATCCTTTCCCTGTGTTGAGTGGTGCTGAGCTTTCCAGCAGCAAGACTGTCCTGGTCCTGCCACAGCCTATCCAGATGGTTGCACGCTGTCTTCCTACAAGTCCCATGGGACTTTCATGAAGACAGAGAACAGGATTAAAGCTGGAGGTAAGATGACTGTTATGCAGCTTTAGAGAACAGCATCCCAAAACATACAGTATCACTCATTAGAAATGAAACCACTGCTATCTAATGACACACAGATCATTCCATTTATTCAGATGATGCACTTGACATGTTATGTCATGACTTCTACAAGAGGTAAATTAGAACAAAGCAATGCTCCTATTTAAAGGTCAGTTCCACAAATGAAAGCTGGTAAGCGAATAGCAATCAAATGCAATGTGAACCATCCCGTCCTTACCTCATCTCAATATCTGGAAAAAATCTGTACATGTAAATATGGCCATACAGCCTGAGTTCTTCAGCAAATTCCAGTGCCAGCTTCTTTTGTGTTTCAGGTGGGAAATAACGCAAGGCATTGCGCAAAGCCAGCTGCCAAAAAAACCCAAGAGAGACAAAAATTGAGGTAAAAGAAATGGAGGTAAGTGGGTGGCCCTGAACTTTAATCAGACTCAGCTGGAAGCCTGCCTACGCTATCACAAGGATGATATATTTAAAAGGCCAAGCTCACAGCAGGGGAGCTCCATTCTTGGTTTCCTGTTGAAGTGTTTCCACTTGCATCTTTTCTTGTAGATTCAATTGCTGTACGCAAGTAACCATCCCCTTTCCACCACCACTCCCAAATCCACATGGACAGACCCTGGAGATTTGTTAAGTAGTGCTCAATCCTATTGATATCAGGCATGGACAAATTCCCCTCTCACAATGCTAGGGGGCACTGAACTACCAAGGAAAGCATTGTTCAGAAATCCTTAGACTTGAGACCCTTAACTCCTAGAGACACTGAACACTCTACGGTACTTTCCATTCAAAAAAGGGATCTTAGCCCTGAGTTATGTGACATACTCTCAGATTAAGGTGTTCTTGGGCTAAGTTTTATTAAAGATTCACTACATTTAGCATCATAATGTATTGCAGAGGGTGGTGGTTTACATTATTTTACTGATGCTACATGTATCACTTCCAAATTAGCTAAAGTGATTACAAAGCACTGAATTAAATTCTGCAGATGATACTACGTGGTTTATACTCCCTATTGCCTTCAAACACATTACCCATGGTTTGCAAAGTACAGTATGTGCTTTTATATGAAAGAAACCATAAATAAATCACTATCTTTAGTAACAGTCTATTAAGTCATGTCTCTGTATTCCATGTTCCAACTGATTAAAACCATAATGAGAAGAAAGATTTTGTAATCTTTAAAAAACCAAGTATTTTCTGGAGAAACTGAAGGGGTGGGCATCTAGAACCATCCAGTCTAGGTATCATCACCATCCATCCTGGTAAGAAGTCCTGAAAAGCTCTATGAAGCCCTCAGCTCAGTAATAAACCCCCTCATTCAACATGACTATGGTCTGGCTCTTATGGCTAGCGCTCTCCAGCCCCTTCATCGGAGCACACTGGTCTCATACCTTAGAGCACACTGAAAGAATAATAGTTCTAAATCTAAAAATGTCCCATACTAAGAGAGGCTTTTGTTGGCATACTTACTACTGAACAGGCATACAAGTCAGACCCTTTCAGATTAGTGAAGCTATACTGATTTACACCAGCTGAGGACCAGACCAGTAAAACCCTACAAATTAAATTTGCCATTCCACACAGGGGGGAAACCTATTTACCAGGTGATAAAATGCAAATTCCATCTTCAAATACCACCTTATTCTTCTTCAGTTACGTAAGTAGTCATTTTTCAAGGGCATCTTATTAATAAACACAAAAATCCCAGCTATATCCACACCATGACAAAATATGCAGGGATTTTCAAAGTCAATCCCAACGTCAAGCAGCCATCACAGTGGGTTTTAGATCTAAGAAATTTCTAAAGTAAGAATAAAAATCACCTACACCTTTTACAACAACAATATCAAGAGGAAAACATTGATTCATTTGGCATTTTGGCTGCCTATGAGAACTACAGAGAACTATCAGAATGAGTGTTTTGCTTCCAGTCTGGCAAGGATCACCCAGTCTTTGATCAATATATTATTTGTATTATAATGGAGCTGATGGGCAAAGGAAAATATTTGCCTTAAAAATACAAGCAAGCAAAATCTGTTCGGATTTTCAAATAAATTCACTTAGACTGAGCCTCTATCCTATTAATGTTATGCATTAGCAGAAGCCTGAATTTTGATGATGCAAACATTAATGAATCATGAACTTGGATGTTACATGAAGGGTGGGAAGGATGCCTTGGTTTCACAGACAATAGAGAGTAGATCTTATAAAAGAGGACTAAGACTGTGGCTTGTTTAGCTTAACTGAACAAAGGTGACATTGATTGCTGTCTTACTGCAGGATAAATGTCAAAGCAAGAAGGAGCTTCAGGGAAATGTGGAAGAGGAATAAATAGGTGTGACTTAGCCATAAAAGTTTAGTCTTGAAATCAGAAGAATTTAAATATAAGAGATTCTGAAACAGTCTCTCAATAGGAGACGTGGGGCACTTAAAATTGCTTAGATGAAGCCTGACTGCTTTATGAAAGTGCAATTGCCATGTTCATCAGGAAGAATTTTGCATATTCATGATTGAGTCATAAACTGAATAACCTAAGGAAGGCACTCAAGGAGCAAATTCAAATAGGCTGATGATCATGCTTTTGTGGAAAGGCAATACAAGGTCATTATTCCTTACATTTCATTAAAGCACCATATAAAACATTATTCTGACATTTAAGTAGGATTGATTTACTTATAACTGACACATTACATTCTGAATATTAGACATTGTGCATTTGATATTTAGCTGTTCTTCCTGTTCACAACTTCCACTGACAGAAGCTTAAGCTGCACATGCTCAGCACATCTGAAAAAACAGGTCCAGAGTTCACTGGTGTCTTAAAAAAAATAATCAAAAAAATCAATTGCAGTTAGACTGCTGAGCCTAATAGGCTGTTTTGAAAAACCTGCTCTGAATTTGCCGAGTTACTGATTCAGTTCAGTGCAATGCAAGCATCAAATGCAAAGTTTTCCTCTTAGGTCTGTCAGCTGGATCTAACATTTGATTCTTGTGTTTAAGCTATAGTCACTAGTAGGGTGTCTTTTTTTGTATTCACTGGCATTTATACAGTAAAACATGATCCTGCTGCTATTTAATCAAGATTCAGATCTCTCAATGTCAACAAAATGTAGTCAAAAGAACCCATGAAATCCTGCTCCAATCAATCAGCTGTAAGTATCTTTTGGGGGGATTCTCTTGAGAAATCATGTATACCAGCCTCTTTGTTAATTGGTGTTTGTTGAATAGCCAGTGCCTCTTTAGAAGCGATGTCATTCATTTCCATTTTCTAACAAGATCATCAGGACTTCCAATTTAAGGATCTTGAGCCTCTCAAACACTAAGATTTGCAGTCTCCCTGTTTACTGAGGGGAAGGGAAGCATGAGGAGAAGTGACTACCTTACTCTACAACAGTTTCATTTTCAGTTCTGCCCCCTTTCCAGTTGAGATGTTGCTTGCCTCCCACCTGTCCTCTGCCTGATGATATCCAGGACCAGAATCTTTGGTGTCACTATTCTCTAAACAGCAACTGTAAAAGTAAGATTGTTGTTTCATGTATTTCTTCCTGACAGGTTCCAGTTTAGATCAGCTCAGTTGGGAAGTAAACATGGCAATTTCAGACCGGCCATGGCTATAAACACCCTACAGGCCGTGCAAGTTTAACCAAGTTCTTTATTATCCAGATGTTCCAAAACAGGAGGGAACAAGTTGGCCTTCCCAATCCACATATAAACTTTTAAAAGTAGCCTCATTTCTGGATGCATAAAGCAACCATTAAGGTCAAATGTCCTGCTGCTTTTCCAGAAAGTTCAACAAGAACTTCAGGTGCTATGTAACTTCACAGGCTCTGGTTTTCAGCTTTTTGTACTAGGATGTCATGAAGCAGCAAGACCCAGCTGCTCCATGAGGGATATGGAGTCAGAGTAACACAGCCAGCAAGACAGGCACCTCACCAGCCAGGGTCCAGCCTCATAGTACCTGAGAGGCGAGCAGGGCATCCTAGGGATGATAGCCAGGTTCCACCAGGAGTTCAGGTCATCAGGCAAGACCATGGTCATGTGCAGGTCTGGGGCCGAGCCAGGAACACAAGTCAGAATCAGGTCTGGTGGTGGTTACCACCGAGAGACAGGGCCCAGAAATCATCAGGAAGGTTCATAGCGGCAAGTCAGCTCACAGGTTGGAGACCAGATTAATGAGATCCATGGCTGGGCACTAGGATACACTGACAGAACTAGAGACAGACACATCTCCAACATAACTGAGATTGAACTCCCAGGCCTGAGCTTAAATGGCGCCCCTAAGCCTATGGGCAGAGGGCGTGGGTGGAGATGTCAGATGAGGCTTGTCAAGGTCATCAAGGCCCATTACTGACCTCAGGGCCCTATGACAGACACAAGTGATACTGCAATCGGGTAACAGATGATCATGCTAGGGTAGCAGGAAGACTGTAACGTGATTTGGCTCTAAGATATGTAAAGGAACTGCTGCATGGATGAGGACGTACCATTTTTTTTCTGATTCTGAGCAACACTGAGAAGTGCACATTCTTCCCAAGTTACTCCAGCTTTACTGGCATGTCAATGAGATTGAGCATGCAACATCTTCATGCCACAAAGGACACACCACACATAAGATTTTAGGAGTAGTTTCTTTGTAGCATATTTACATTAAGATACAGATGCTGAGAAACAGAAAGCTAGGGTTTCCTTAGCTGTGGAGAGAAAGAGAGAGGATGTGGCTGTTTCAGGCCTCAGGCAAAGAATACCAAAGGAACAGAACTCAGGAAACATATAAACAGAATCAGTCCTGAGAAATGGCTTGATTTATTCACGAAGATTAAAGCTGGTATGATAGGAAGAATCGTACACCTCTTTAGCAAGCCCCCAAACACACAGAACTTTATAAATCTCACTTACAGGATTTCTATTACAACCACAAAAGGAGGCTGAGGAAAATAAAACATTGGCAATGCTAAGGTTTATTATTGTAGAAAGGGTTAAAACTGGAATGAAGGCATATGAAGAGAAGGACAAGTCCTGAGGAAATTAGCAGAGCATTATTAACTTCACTTCTGTCAAAGCTTCCCCTGAGTACTTCAATTAGAAGATGAACACAGTGTCATACATAAAGACAAGCCTTGCAATATGCTCAGCATTACTCACTGCCAACAAAATCTGGAAGCTTGTCTCAAAACTTAAAAACCACCTTGTAGACAGAAAATCTATAGTTGTCTGTCTACATGCTTTTCTAAGCATGGAACACCTCTTAAAAAAATAGATTTGCCCTTTCAGATATAAAATAAATACCAGCTGAGCCTCTAACTCTGTTAAGAGTTTAAGGTGGAAGATTAAAATAAATTGGAAAGAAAGCTTTTAAATCTTTAACAGTCTAATAAAACACCCAAATAGCATGACCTCTTACCACATGTGGTAGATAAGAGGGAGAGATAGGGTAGGATGTTAGACAGTAGACTGGGACCAGAAAATCAGTCTACTGCCATCTCCCTGCAACACTTAAAGGAGGCAGGAGACTATTCCAGTTTCTATACAGGAAGTGAGGACTTTGTCATTACCTTTCTCTCCCCAGGTAGAGAGTAAGGTTTGGCATCCTTTTGGAAAATAACATCTTCTCTCCTGCAACATGGGATCCTTCATGCTATAGCAGATTTCTCATAGGGAAATTGATTTCGCAAAGGCAAGGGATAAACCGGAGATTTTGGGCAATTTTTTTCTGACATCCAGTGAAACTCACTCCCTGCTCCTTTATCTCACAGCCATCACCACACACCACAGCCCCCTTCTGCACACCTAGTAGCCACACTTCCATGTGTCTGAGCTGTCCCAGGCACAGACAGGATGCCTCAGCTGTCAATGTTCCTGACATTGAAGTATATCCTCTTCGGATATTTCACAGCTGTTCCTCTTTCTACCCTTTGACTAGGCTCTCCTCTGCTTGTGGAAGTGGAGTTTGAAAGAATTTGGCTGCTGATGCCAGTGGGGAACTCCCACAAAGGCAAGGAAGTTGTGTGCAACTTGTTAGTGGGGAAGGAACTTCTGTGTTCTGACCAGAATGTCACATTGTAAGTGATGTTACGTGTGATGAAGCACAGACTTTCAAACTAAGGAACCCACCTTATCCTCTCCCACAGAAATTCCTAAGGATGTCCACTCATTGACCATTACTTTCTGCTGATGATTTTTTTTAAATCTCTAACATGAAATAATGCAATGATTACTTTAGTATGCACATAGACTATTCAAACAAAAAAAAGACAGGAAAAGAATTACACAACTAAAGACAAATAATTAACTCAACTCCCTACAAACTTGCCTAAATTCCAGGACGCTTCAGACTGCTGGTTAAAATAAATTATCTTTGGATCTTTTATGCAAATATACAGATGTGTAGCTTGTACCATGATGTTGGTTCACCACATTTGATGTTTATTATATCTGAGAGGTTAACTTTCACTCCCATAAATATGCAGTCTTTTTGCAACAGCATTCATAATTTCATCTCCAAGGAACAATGCTGGATTGACAGCATTGAATCTCATGCCTCTTACTTAGCCATTTAAAGTCACAGAAGCTGGTGTGCAGCAAATATCCCTCCTATCACCCTGCTTATGTCTGGGGGAAAGAAAGGAAGCAAGCAGAAAAGTTTCCAGTATTTTGTGCCATTACCCACCGAAATTATAACACCAAGGAAATACATTTGCCACAAAGTTAGGTGCACACTCAGAAAAGCATTTGAGGCAATCTGGTCTGCTGCCCCGAGCTGCATTTATCTGAAAGGAAGAGAAGCGAGGCCCTGTGAAACCCCATGTTACCTTTTTCTCCTGAGCAGTGAGATTAGGGGTTCTCACGGGTGCATGGGGTATTCCTTTCCTTCGACCTCTGTTTTCAGGCAAAGGGTTTAGAGGAAGGCCACGACAGATTTCCTTCAGGCTGGTCATAGCTGCTGAGGAAATATGAGGAGAAAAGGCAAGGCAAACCAGAGAGGTATAAGAAATGGGGAACAAAGGGTGCAGGCGAGCAAGATGTTAAGCGATTGAGATGCACTATCACTCTGGGGTGATCTCAGAGAGGACAGCCTGTCCTCTGGCTTTTGCAGACAGGCCTGTCAAGCAGAGAGGGCAGACGGCACAGGTGACACACCTCCCCCTCTGTGCCATGCCATTGGCTCTTCCCTCCTCCCCCAAAATGAATGATTCACAGTTTTGCTGTTTATTCTCTGGGTGCTTTGTCAGCTGGTGCTGTGCTAAGCCACTAGAGCAAACTCAGTCACTTTCCAAATCATCTGATTCCCCCAATGTCCTAGTGAGAGTTATGGTCTGGACCATGAACCTTGCCTGAGACCTCAAGGGCTGTGCATTTACATTTCTATAATTTAGGAACTGACTGAAGTTAATCATTATTATTCATGTCACTTCATACGCACTGTTCAGCTAAGATGGGTGTTCTCTGTTTGACACCTCTAGGTATGGGCTGTTCCTCCGATCTCATCGATTTGTTTTCTAGACAACAGCAATTGTCAATGATAACAGAAAAATATCCCCCTTAGGTGTTAGCTCCTCTTAGCTCACAGGCATGAATGGATTTTAGTAGTATTTAACTGGAAATGTACTCATTAGCACTGGTAATGGTTTTCTCAAGACCGGCAATAATTGGGAGGAAGAATTAAGGCTTTCAGTTCTAAAAGTCACTTGTATACCCTACAGTGAACAACAGCTAGAAAGTCTTAATGGTACTGCCATCCAGACATCATAAGTAAATGAATATACTTAACTTTGATTTTCCACTTACAGTGCAACATGAACTTTGCTCTCCATTTTGAGCTGTTCTTTAAATTATACAGGAGTTTCTTGACCTTTATTACATCCATGGAACTACAACTCGTCGCCAGGGAATTTTCTCAAGTGCCACAATTTAAGCCTGGAGAAATTAACTGAGAGAAACGTTTCAGGTAGGAATGAGCCTAAAACCTAGGGAAAAAAAATACTCCATTTTCCCACAAAGGTAGCAATCAACAAACTATGACAACAAAGCACAATTATTAAATGACAGCATCTCATTAATGTCACATTGGCTTTAGCTCTAGGACATACTGCACATCCCCAGCTCCCACAGAAGATGCTTGAGTTGAAAGAACTCAGAACATCCCAGGGGAGCTGAGTGCACAGCAGACTCAAACCCTCTGAAGGATACTAACTGACATTCATGGAAGGATAATTTTGTTTTGTAATTATACAGTATTTTAGCTGTTTTCAAACAAAAGGCAAAGACAAAAAGGAGAGGAAAAGGCCTCCTTCTGTTTTTAAAATTTTCTATTTGGCTTTCTTATTAAAAACATACAAAAAAAGGAAAACAAGGCTAAAGTCAGAAAATTCTACCCCAAAACCTAGTTAAATAACCCTGCCTTACATAAACATTCCCACCTCAAAGGGAAATAAATCTTTCCTTATTCTTCTTTGTATGACCCACATTCTCCAAATCCCTCTAAGGTCTGATCCTGCGCACACATGGGCACAAGAATAACCTCGTCTACATTTGGACTCCCATCAGACCTGCTTCCCTCTGTGACATCAAGCAGAAGTTAATGGTGTTACACTGTCATGAAAGCTGAAGAAATAGAGAATTCACTCCCTGAATTAAAATTATTTGTAGGGCTGAGCATTTCATCCCCCGATCACTACATGCTGGAGCCTCTCTGGGTCCCTGGGAGCTTTGTGTTGGGGTTACCTGAGCAAATCTGACTTCAGGGTCATGCCCAGTGTTGGGGCACCCATATGTGTCGGTGGTGCCAGAGCAGACCCCCCAGCCTCTCCGGGAAGTCACAAGTCCCCTCGCTGCCTGGCTCATCCCAGCTCATGTCTGTGATTATGGAAAAAAAAAAAGAAAAAGATGCATGTGCC